ACCAACACCAGGCGGAGACGCTTGGCGGACAACGGGGGGAGGGACAACGGTAGAGGGGATTACATCACCGTCGCGGTACGAGGGAGGCAAGCGGGTGGCCGATAGAGAGCATCCGATATCCGAATATGCGAAACTAAGCCGACCACCGAAAAGGTGCACACCCCTCTCATCCAACATTATCCTGTGCTTTTTCTGCGTGTGGTGCAGAGAGAACAAGTTGAACGAAATCCCTGGTACTACGTACACGTCTGTCAATTGGACACAGAAATCCGCTTCTCCCGATCGACCTCCTGCCATGTGAAATGCCAGATTGACACTACCTACGCACTCCACGCGCAAATAAGCACCATTGCCTACTTTGATGAATTCTTTGCCGGGGGGGACAGGCGAGATGTTGTACATCTTGGAGCTGTTACTCACAAGGATGGCAACCCTGGGGGGACGTGTTCGTGGCTGCAAAGCTACATCGGACACGGGCATTGACTTTTGTTGAGAAGCACGATGACCACTAGACTAAAAGTCAACGTTGACTACCCGGATGGTCTAATTTTACCGATTAGATCGCCTCCATCGGGGGGCTTGTCCACGCTCTCTTATGCGGGACGCTTCTCTTCGGTAAACTTGATTTTTTCTTGTACTCCCTTCTCCACTTCCTCTTTGATGTGCGCCGATAATGCTTGGCGGTCCTCTTCAGTAAAGCTGCTGAGGTCGAGGGCTTCCATGATCTACTTCTCTAGCCGAACCCTTTTATAGCTAACCTCACCTCGGGATCCCGTATGATATCACACGCTAGCGTGTTAGGATGATCCGAACTGGGGGTAGCTTGTCGCAAGACGTGTGTTGAATAGGGTGTCGGCAACTCGGCGAACTCGCGCCAAGGAGGAAAGATGTGCTGGGCTTGTTGTATAGACTTCTTCACATGAAAAACATGGACTCACATGAACACATGAACACATGAAGACATGGACACATGAACAGACATGGACTGCACGCACGCGTGCACGCACCACCATGAGGGGGCGACGCAGTATACAACAGGGGTACCTTGCACACCCTGGAAATACATTCCACGTACCACACAATCCTACAACCACTTGGCATTGCTACAAGTATATCTATCACACCGCGATGATTCAACATCCCTCCCCGGTAGAGTAGACCGCAGCTGGCTCTTCTCTAGAACCCGGAGCTCGTTTAATAGTACCGTTCGGCTATACGGCCGGCAGTCGATGCAAACACATCAACGGTGCACAAACTAAAATTGGACTATTGCTACGCACATGCACAAAACCGCTCGTTTCGACATGGTTCTTGTGAGAAAGGATTGGGTAACGTACAGCAAAAGCACCGTGCGGCCACTGGCTGCTGTAAATGAGGGCTTAACTACCCCTCCCCTCCCAGGCGTGGCAACATGAACTGACAGCGTGGACACGATCACCTGCAACTAGTAGAGGTAAAACTACTGGTCGTGGATCCGGACACGTAACGTCAAACCATAATTCGAAGAACCAACAAGTCCAGCGATGCCAACGATTCACTTCGCAGCCTGGCAGATACGCACGGGAGGAGCCCCAGCAGTAGCACCGTATGCAACGTTGCAGGCTCTCGTTCTGGGCCCTGCTGGCACACAAGCATGTACCCGGTGCAATACTTTTTTCTCGCTCGCCTGCCGAAGGTACTTCAGTCGAGGAGAACACCGAGGTACTATTGTAGTTCCTTTTCAACGTTTCTGTAATACTCAACGTGTTCTTCGTTAATACGCATCATTAGGGTGCATGCAACAGAAAAGGTGGCTTACATATGCACTGGTGTAGTGGCAGCTCATCTCAAACCTTCTTTGACAATCAACATTTTCTGGGCACACGCGTACATCACGGCAAAAAAACAAACACAAACCACAGACGTCGCACTGCGCGGAGACGAGAAGGGGTCGAAAGCAGCAGTATCCCTCAGCTCAACAAAGCCATAATTAGAAGGCAACACCTTTCCGGCAATCGAGGTTTTAAGAAGTGCATGATGCACCAAACCTCCTCTGCTGTGGAGTAGAGCAGGAGGTTGCATTCGCCTGACCGATACACGCACAGTACGTCTAGACCTTCTTCACGATCTGCACTACGTCTTCGTCGTTTAGGCGGTGGTCCTTGCCGGTCTTCATTGGCTGGTGCTTCACCGAGGACCCCCACACCCACGCGTACTTGAGGTGCGACAAAATATCCTGCCCACGACAAAAACAAAGCGGAGGGTACGGGGAGAGGAGAGGGGCGCTGACGGATGAAAAAGTGTTCGGCAAACCGCCGGGCGCCACCCCCCCGTGGACAATCATTCCTGTGTTGTTGATGACTTGGTCAGAGAGGGCAGTTTTCGGGCGCGAATCAACTGGCTACGCACTCAAGGCACGGACGAACGTGAGGGCTCTCAAGGATGGGGGCGGCACACGCAACCGGAAAAAAAGAAAAAAAAGTGGAAGAGGGTAACGTACAGTAGTGCACTATTGTAGAAGCTCCGCAAAAACAAAACAACACAACAAAACCGCCTCTGTTACAATAATTGCTGTTGAGCTTGCGGCATAATACAGCCGTACAAGAAGCCGCGAGACATATTCTCCGGCTAGCTGCGTGTGCAAAGATTCCAAACAAAAAAAGGCAGGCGTCGCGCAGGGGGAGATGTAAAAGCCACCACAAGCAGGCCTTCGGATCGAAAACAGCAGAGCGCAAAATAGATGACACAAACCGGAGAAAGTTCTTACACCAACAGTTTCATTAACACTCGTCCTGGTAGCCGATTGAAAACACTGCAGGACCCAGGGGTATCAGGGACACTCTCGTCTACCATAGCAGACGAAACACATGCAGAAATTCAGACACAGATCTGCAAAGTAAGGTCACCTTGTGTATCCGGTTGCAGAACATCTCGAGGGAGGGGTTGGTGTCGTGAAGGATGACGGGCTCGTTGTAGTCCGGGATCTGGCCCTTTGGCTTGGTGTAGATGCGGATCATGTTGCAGTAGTCCCACACCTTCTCCAGAAGCTGCGGCCATGGGGGAGGAAGGCGCGTGGGGATCGAGGAGCGGGCAAAGACGTGTGCGGCAAAACGGACAAGCGTGCGGGCGAAGTTGGGGCTCCGCAGTAGCCGATACGTAACTCTTCGCGTAGTCCTACTCCAGCAGCGGCAAGCAGAGCATCGACAACAGCAGTCGTTGGAGCGCTGATAACACGGAGCGAAAGTGGCGTGTCGGGGGCGGACATTTGAAGGAAAGGCTGAAACAAGTTATTCGTTGAAAAAAAAAAAAGAGGAAATCATGCGTCCTTCCAACAAGAAAAACGCAGTCGTACTTTGCATGAACAACAGAAAGCAGAAACAAAACACAAAGCCAGCACGTTGAGAAAAAAAAAAAAACACTACCCAATTTTGAAGAAAAAAAAAAAAAGGCGCGCATCTTGGAAGACAAAACATTTGTACAGCAGTATGGTGCGACAGAAAAAGGGGGGAAAACACGTGAGCATTCCAGTGCGGCAAAGAGAAGGAAAAACACATCCATCATGACCCTCGTCGCGGTTTGAAAAAAAAAGAAGGGCGCGCCTCTTGAAAGAAGACAAAACAGTCACATATGGTGCGACAGACGAAATGGCAAAAAAAAACGAGTACTTCCTGCGCGACAAGGAGAAGAAAAGAGCACGAACACGGACCTCGTCGATGTTCCAACCGTGGGCCGCAGAAACCACCACGTGGTGCGGTATTTGACAGATGATGTCCAGCTCTTCGATCGTCACCTGGCGGACGCAGAGAGCAAAGCACACGAAAGTAATTTTTTCCACGATGCCATCCATCGAGACAAAACAGACAGGCGGTTAGGGGGGAGCGAGGTATGTCGGGAAAGTCTGTTTAGCCTAGACGCGCGTGTACGTCGACCACGAGCCTTGGCTAAATCCGTACTCAGCCGTGCCAGCATTCGCTCGCCCCAAAGAAATTCTTGGAAGAGAACATACCATGGCAACTCGCGCTACATTGGGAGCTGTCCCAGCCGCGTCGGCGAGAACCCGAAGCGCTCCGGCCCGAAAACAGGTACCCACGAGGTCTACGGTCAAAGGCGTGGATTGCAACATGGAATGAGCTGGGGAGTCATATCCAGTGCTCTGGATTGGGAACACCACGAGAAAAGGCGCTGGTGTTCGTACGTGCTCAACAGGATGAACGTCGATACATTTGGCGAAGATCTCGCCAATGCGATCTCGCCAATGCGAGTATTTTGGGCATCTTGAGGAGCCAACCCCCGGTCGTACTTCAACCCATGCGTGAACTACAAAGAGCAACGCGTTTGCGACGACAGCAGTACCCACTGGCCAATCGTGCCAACGCAGAGCGAGACAGGAAAACAAAAGAGGCGTTTTGTTCCACCAAGCACACACACACCAAACAGACAGACCCACAGCCTTCTGTTGCAACAACGTCTACACGGCGATCGATCCGTACGATCTCTGATGTCATGCACAAAAAAAAAAAAACATCGTTTCCAGTGACACATCGCACACCTTTAGCCACAACAGCAGTATGTGCCGTTTGAAAAAACTGTGCGGACAGAAGGTTGAGCTTCCCACAAAAAAAAAAAAAAACGCAAACACACACACACACACTCACGATAAATGAAAACGGGGGGGGACAAGGCGCAGCAAACAAGTGTCGGTACGCACCTGATCGATCTTGTTCATCACGTACAACGCCGGCATGTACTTCCGGTTCCCCTCCACGACGTCGATGAACTGGTCGATCGTCACGTCTTCCTTCACCACGACGTCGCAGCTGTGAAGCCGGTACTCTCGCAGCACCGACTGCACCACGTCGTGAGACAGCTCCGACTGGGAACACGTGGGCAACAAAAAACGCGTGACGTGGATTGGAGGGGGGGGGGGCAATCCAAGTTGCAACAACAGTTCACGCGTGCGGCTCGATGTCCACATTGCGGATGAATGCCACGGCCGGTACGTGGAACGTACACGTACTACTATAGGTCTCGAAGCCCAGCAAGCGAAAGCCGCGCAGTTTCGTTGTTCCGGCGGTCGGAGTATTCGCGGAGCAGTCAGCCACACCTCCCCCACGGGCGTACCGGTAGTGTAGCCAACAAGGCGTAGCACAGGGTGCACGTTGTGAACAGGGTCGTCGAACAGGCGTTGCCGAGCATCGTTTGGACTTGTCCGTCAAGCGCCGTTTCGTGCAACGGCTCTCGAGGAAACGGCTCTACAACTGCTGTGCTAACCGAAACAAGAACCAACAAAAGCGCGGTCTGCCTTTTCCCATCGATCCTGTCCGGTCTATGCATAGCACAAGATACCAGTACCCCAAGACATGAAACCTCCCGAAAGTTGAGGCAGCCCTTTTCCCCCCTTCCTCCCGGAAGGTGACAACAGAAGCACAACCATGAACAAGACCAACACCGCACACCATCACTTGAAAATCACCCCCCGAAAAACGACGAAACATGCACGAGCTACAAGGAAAATCCGTAAGCGCTCTTCGAGTGCCATTTTACCTGAGGCACGGGCCTCCTGGTCCACATCCTACCCGTGCGGAAACGCGGTGCAAACACAAACGCGTGACCGAAAAGAGCAAACAGTCACAGACGTCGCTGCCACGGGACGACGACGCCGGCGTGGTGTGGAACAACATACGACCAAAAGACCAATCAAATCAATCACAGACTTCGTTGCCACCACGACGCCGCGCCGCCCCCCACTTAGTGTCGACATTTTTTTTTTTTCTTTTGCGCTTCACCTGAGGCACGATTTCCTGGTAGTTCAGACCGCCCTTGTCCTTCTTGCGGAACACGATGTCCGGCGGCTTCTGGTTGAGGCGGATCCCGAATCCGTCCAGCTCCTTCTCGATCACCTTCTTGTGCGTCATGCTCTACATTTTTTTTTTTTACAGTTGTGCAGCATCGAACGGCACACGATGACCGGACAACATCCACATCCAAGTAACGCACAAACGACGAGCAGGGGTGAGAAGAAGAAGGAACGCCAGATTTCTCTCGTTTCTGCGAGGGTCATACTCCAAACTCCAAACCAGGGAACACGCACCGACGTCGTTGCTGATTTCGGCGAGGTCTTGCAGGTGCTCGCATGATCCATGAGGACATTATTGCCGTTGCGGCTGCTATAAACCCAGCCGCTAGAGAGAAGTGGTCCCCAGCCGCTCCAAGCAGCAAACAATACAACAACGGAAAAAAATACGTCGACGAATCCGACAAGCCGTTGTACAAGCTCTGCCTCTGTTGACTTCACCGGCTACGGTCGGTCATCGCGCTCGAGAGGAGTCTGCCGGTCACCTTCATCACGTCCAAGCAAATCAGCAGCATGTTGCACGTTCGGGCTGTGGAGATGACCTACGATCCCAACAGAAAGGCGGTGGAGGCACGGCGGTGGCAAGGAGAGGCACAAAAAGTCAAACCGGTGTCAAGATCAACGTACTCAACAGAAACATGGTGGCAGCAACACACACGTGCGCGTAAATGTACAAACGTGATCACCTTCCAACGAGACCAGCAAAGCCACCAATGCACCCAACTGCTACAGCGGTGGCGGCGGCAGCAGCAACACCGCTGAGAACAGCGGCCGCAAAACATGACCGGCGTGTATACCTGTCGTCCTCGACCCTTGCCGTCCTTAGCGCCCTCAATAATCCCGGGCAAATCCAACATCTGTATCTTCGCCCCTCTGTAGTTGAGCGTGCCGGGTACTGCAGTAAGCGTTGTGAACTGTTTTGTTTGGGTGGGTGCAAAGAAACGACGAGCACGAGCGAGCGGTACAAGGGCGAAGATATATAACACAACACAGAGACAAGAAGCGAAAGAACAAAAAAAACGTCACGAGTCTAAACGTGGACTTGGACTTCGTGCTCCCAACACACAACGCGTCGAGAGCACTGTGCGGTGTTCGTTGGTGGACAGATGTTGCAGAGGAGGGCCCTCGCAACAAAAAACTTGATTCGAGAATAGGTAGGCGGAGGGGTTAGCAAAGGAACATCTAGGTGGTCGAAAGACCCCTCCTTTTTGTCAGCCATCGATGGCTACCGGGGAGCTGCTGGGTTGTTGGTTGGCGTGCAAGAAGGAAACAAGCGCCGCATGCAGGCAGTGTTCCGCACAAAGGTCTCAACAGTCGAGACACAGCGGTCTGCAAAAAATACATAGCAAGAGACAGGAACACAGATGTGCACATCGAGCGGATGAACTCAGGACATGTAGACACGCGAGACTTTGCAGATATATTGCAGGCGCAGAGAACAGACGAACAGAAAAGGGAAAGGAAAAAAAAAAAAAACTAACGATTGGCGTGGCTCTCCCACCTCATAGGCGGCGGCTTCGCTGTGGGTCCCTGTGAGCTTGGTGAGCAGGGTAGACTTCCCGACGGAGGGGAAGCCGACGAAGCCCACCCTGGTATCGCCGGCTTTGCTCACGTCGAAACCTCTGCCCCCTCCTCCGCCGCCTCCCCTGCCCCCGGAGTCTGCGTCGAGGAGCTCCCTGCGACCAATTGCGGAAACAGAGATGACACAAGAGGATGGCGGAGACGTTCACACATGAGAGGACATCCTGTGGACGCGAAACATCATGTATCTGGTGATGCAGACGATAGATAGGGCACACCGTGGGTGCGAGATGCTGGCTGACTGCACGGAGGAAATGTAGGGAGGGCGGCATGAACGAAAGGCCCCGAAAAAAGGGGAAGAGCAAGGCATGCACTAGGTGTAGAATAGACAGCAGCACGCACAAAAAAAGAAGGAAGACATGGCCACCGGGGGAAGAGAAGAAGCACCGCAAGGTTTGTGCGTGAGACTTGGGAGCATCTTGGGTGGAAGGACACATCGGAGGACATGCACTGGGACACCGAGTGTCCCGTGGACATGACGAAGCAAATGGTTCAAGAGACAAACACACCTACATGTCAAGGGGATGGCATACGATGCACCGCACGTTTCGACACGACAAAACATTTTTCCCGCCTTGGGTGGGCAATGCATGCCATCTTGATACCAACCCTATCTGAAGCAGACTGGGTGTGGCCTACCCCAAAAGCGTTCCCACGTCTCAATTTACCACGCTCTCCTTTGGCCAGCAGCAGAAAACGTGCCGTAAGGCAGCACAAATAATCAAACAATGAAGCGTTAAACATGAACCATGTAACGAACAATGCAACCGACTACATCCGTCACAGTTTCGAAGTTTTCTGACTGATATACTTGTAGCAATGCCAAGTGGATGGTACGGAATGTTCCCATGGGGTGAGGTAGAGCGGAATACCGGGTAATTTGTGTGGTACGTGAAATGATTTCCCAGGGATGTGCTAGGTACCCCTGTTGTAACGGGGTCGCCCCCTCAACGGGGCATGTGTGTGTGTGTGTGAGTGAGTGGAGACGATTAATCACAACAAACTTCCTCCTCGGCGCGAGCCCACCTAGTTGTCGACACCCTATTAAACACACGTCTTGCGACAAGCTACCCGCAGTGCCGATCATCCTACAAATAACAGTCTCGGGGTCACAAAAACAATCTACCTGTCTTGAATTCAACGCCTACTTAAAAGGATGTGCCAGCTGCATGCAACCAACCTTTTTAGCTTGGCGACCTTAGCCTTGATGAGACCGAGGTGCTGGCTTGTCGCCTTGTTCTTCTGTGTCCTGGCATACTGAGAACAACCAGGACAGGCGCGGACGGACGGAGGTACCGGGGAGGTACCAGGTGGGGGGGCGAGGTTGCTCAAAGAGGTGCAAGGATACGATAGGAAAAAAAAAGAGGGGGTACGTGGGTCCGAAGCTCTGGTGAAAAGTTGGTGAGTGTCCTCGAGTCCAACAAGGTTGAACGACCACCATCCAAAGGTTTCGATAAAACTCAAAAGCTTGCCGCGGTCTGTAATCTTTTAGTATCTTGCAAGGACACTAACTTGCCAGGATCAGCGCAACTACGGCTTTGTGAGTCCCACCCGTTCCGCCAAAATATCCAAAAAGCGCCCTCCGTTCTCGCGTAACGGTAGCCGAAACAAACGGTATGCGAGGGTGCTTGGCTGACGTCAAAAACACTACACAAACAATCAGCTTAGGAATTGACTCCCATTTCCCACGCTTCATTGTCCAAAAACCCACATGTACTGTTACTGTCGCGCGGTGGCTTTCTGAGTCCGCTTCCCCCGTTGTTCTGCCATTTCCCGTCATTTCACTACTGTGGTTTGTCGGTGGCGAGTATACGCGCGCTCGGGACGTTCGATTTGATTGATGGGAATATCTAGCTTTGGGGTCAAATCCTGCATCAGCTATTGTTCTGCCGTGCATTGTTACCACAGCCTCGGTATTGTACCGCGTTCTGCTGCTGCTGTAGACCTTTCCGAATCCGTTCGCATGTACGCGGGATGGAGAACAATGACATATGGTCGAGTTCGGATCATATTGACGCATGTGACATTGCCAAGTGATTTTGTCACGGGACTCCCGCGTTGGTGGAATCTTTCCGAATCACTGGCAGGTGTACATCGTCAATTGATAACCGCTTCGTTCCTGTGTTTGGCCTCTGTTGGGTGCTGGACAGGTTAACCTTCAGGCACACACACCGCGACTGACCGCAAATGCAGACGCTGTACATGTTGTATTGTACACACTGCTGTTGTCATGTACTGCTAGTCGCCCGTCTGCCGCACAATCATGACAGCGCGTGCAAAGCAGGACCAGGTCAAACAAAATAAACAGCCCGGCCTCTCGCCGGACGAGATCAGCAGTCATTCGCGGTGTGCTGCTTGAACCTCTGGCACACACATGTCCGCAGCTGTTCGTTTGATGCTGTGTTGTTGAGTGGAGTCTTCCACTCGTGTTGCTCTTTGCCAACACCGCCGTTGCACCGTTGCAAAATAGTAAGTCTCTTGCTTGCATGAGAGATAAGGCAGCACGAGAGATAATGCAGCACACCAGAAGTCAGCAATAGGTCCTCGCCGTGTCATAACTCCGGCGAGGTGTCGCTACGGCTGTAGGTGTGCCGTGTATAGGCAGCAGCAGCCTCTTACGAGACACACAACCCGCGTCGAGCAGAGTCGTGTTTCGTACCTCGTTCTCCAGCTCCTGAATCTTGGACCTGATGCTGTCCGACATTGTGGATTACTCTCTCCAGAGACGCCTGCTTTCGTTGCCTCCCACCCCTTCTCCGTGCTCCTCGTACCTGTGTGTGAGTGCTGCCTGTGGCAGCGGCGAGCGAGCTGTGTCCCTTGCGTTGCAATCGGCGGTGCCCCCACAGGCTGGTGAGCTTTATCATGGCTGTGGCGCCCCTCATCCCAATACCCAATACCAGCAGCACCAGTGATCGCCTTGCTTCAGCCACCCTGCCTGCTGCTGCCGCTGAAGCCACGAATCAGACAGAGATAGTCATGCCAGGGCAAGACGAAACTATGCAGAACGGATCGTCAGGAGCTGCTGATGGTGGAGATCAGGTATCGGGGGGTTGCTAGCTCGTAGCCCAGTGTATCCGACACCATTTTTTGAATTCAGACGCTATTGCTGTAGGCCTGTGTTCGCCCGCAGTATCATGACCACCACTCCCTTGCCTCTTCAGTCTTTCATCTCTGTTGTGCGTGTCAAGTGCGAAGATTGGCTCTCCCTGAACGCTTTTGGTGCACTAATGTTTCAAGAAATGTTTGTTGTCTGGAGGCCCAGGAGATTGCATCGAAGATACATGTGCCTCCAGAACATGGAGCGTCGGGACGGCGTCCGCTGTACAGATTCATCGGACTCACAGACCAATCGGACATGCCGGACACGGGAAGCCCGACCTCTATTTTTCTGGTTGGACTGCGCCCTGACCCGTATTGCAGGAGATATATGATATCACTTAAGTGACGAATGTTTACAGGCAGCCATGTCACGGGAAGACGTGCTGCCCTGCTGCACGGTCCGCACATCTCGGTTTCATTGGCCAGCTTACCGACATCATTACTGTAGATATCACACACCCGGACAAAGGTGCGAGAGTGCCGAGGCCAAGCAACAAGTGAAGAAACTGCCTGACCCGCCAGACCTAAACGTGGTAACCATTGTGTCATGAGCTACTGTTTTCTTGTGCATGTACCACACCGTGAGGTCACTTCATAATCACCGAAAGAGCATGCGACCACGACACCTCGACTGCTGCAGATCAGCTTGTTACCGTTAATCCCCCTGCACACCTCGCGAGCACCTGTTGTCTTCTTTTTGGCATACCTGCTCAGAACCCTCTTGAAATCCGTCAACTGGCGCGGACTCCTGTCGTTATCGCATTCCAATAAACAATCCTACAGCAGGGCACACTGCCTGTAGCACATAAAATTGACCCAGACTACATAGTCAACGCAGGCGCGATAGTCTACAGTAATCAAACATTTTCGTGAAAAGCACCACTCACCCTGAGTCACACCTGAAGCAATCATAACCCTTCAAAGTCACTCCCCCCGGACGCACCCACGAGCTTCTACAGGGTTTCATGACCCCCCCACAAACACAGCAGTACGTGATAATTGGACCATATCGAGCTGCAAGGCCGGACCACCGACCCCGCTGTAGTAGGTAGTTGTCAGTCCCGGGCACAAGTCCAGGCTATATTCCAGGTTCAAGCAAAGCATCCCCTCCCCGCCAGGTGTACTGAACTGGAACTTCTGAATGTAAATGTCGATTCTGCGTTCCCCCCGCCCTCCCCCTCTTTCTCTTGCGCAGTACATTAACGAAGACGCTTCGGAGCAGTACGATCGCCAGATTCGTCTGTGGGGAGTGGAGGCGCAGCAGCGAATGAGCGGCTCGAGGGTGCTATTTTCGGGCATCAACGGGGTGGGCCATTTTTCCTCGTGTGTTGTTGGCCGGGGGGCGGGGGGCGGGGGGGGGGGGGGAGTGTCCCGAAACCTTTCCCTGTCCCCACCAGATTGTTGTGAGCGGCGCCAGCTGGTGGAGGGCGCGCGTGGTGACGGGAGTAAGGGCTAGCTGGTGTAGCGGACAGGATGGAACCCGACCATGAGACGTCGTGGACGAAAGACGTACCGGCGTAGTATTATGTTAAATGTTGCTTGTTTTTCCGCTGGTAGGCATTTTGCTCCGTCTTCCTGAAGAAGGCTACGACACTTCGGGCTTAGGTATTGCAGCGGTTCAGAACGGGGGCAGATTCAATGCTGGGTATTGATCGGTTGTAGAATCCGAGCTTCAGGAGCACTCCTCGCTCTTGCGAACGCCACCCTGCGTCCTGGCTGCCGATCCCTTGCGAGATCGACGCGTGGAGACGCATTTTTCTGGTTCTCAACCCCCCCCCCGAAGGGTCGCTCGCCCCGGCCAGCTCTATAAAACCCAACCCAGTTGCCCGCGCTCCCTGCACCCGGGCACGGGAATACGTGGCACGCCCGCCAAGCGCTTTCCTTCGCGTGTGCCGAGCGCGGCCTTAGCTCTCTTTCCCACCTCTTTTGCTTGCTCCCTCCCCTTCCGGTTGTTTTCGTCGCTTTGCAGGTGACCGTGGAGGGATGCAAGAACCTTCTCCTGGCGGGAGTTAGCGCCACGCTCCAGGACCAAGCCTCGGCGCAACCGAGCGACATCGGCGCCAACTTCTTGCTCAGCGGCCAAGACGTGGGCAAGAACGTGAGACAGGTTCCACTTCTGCTGTGGTCGATGAATGCAGTAGCATTAAGAGGAAATGGTGTTTGTTAAGACGGGCGCAATGCTGGATGGCAGACGCGCAATGCTCATCCCTCGTAGTCATGAGCACGAAAGGTAGCGTGGTGGCTACGGCATTTAAACAGCAACGGAAGAGTGTTGAGCAAAGCAGCAAGAATCTTGGGGAGCGTGGAGGTACAGTTGAGCGCAGGATAGCGTACCGGAACGTTGCAGCAACCAGCTAAGCCTCGGCTAACACTTGGGACCGAGCTACGAGAATAGGAGGGGGCGACCAACCTCGCACCCTCGACGCGTTCCCCTGCGGTACTGTAGTCCAGCAGTGCACCAGAGAAACACTGCGTGCGACGTGTGTAGCGTGGGTGGGCCGTCTTCTTTTCACGCAATGGCAAGTGCGCACGTCCAGCATCTTATCTCACCACGCGCTGCCCTCTGCATGCCACGCGCGTGGTGCACAGCTGTAAACGACCATCACGGAGTGTACCTCAAGTCTGGGTCACGGATGTGTTCGTGCCGGTAGCTACATCCGTGACCCAGACTTGAGGTACATGTTTCTGCGACAATTTTTCGCAAGACAACGACCGCCCATTCTACAGCAGTCCTCCAGCGAACCCCGCTGCCCTTAGGGGGCACAAACAACGGCCGTTTGCTTGCCCCTGCCTCCCCCCCCCCAACGGCCAGTGCGCTAAAATGGCGTGAGGTACATAGACACAACCTCATTCCCTGTCCCCCCCTTTCTCCTCTTGTGTGAATTGGTTGAAAAAGCGCGCGGAGGCTAGTGCGGACAACGCGAGGGAACTGAACCGGCTGGCGAGCGTGTCGAGCGAGACCAGGCCGCTGGAAGAACTGCCGGATGACTTCTTCAAAGCTTTCCGGTAGGGCAGAGGACAAGTGTTGCGGGGGATATATTTGTTGTCGTTGTATTTTCTTACAACTGAGGTAGATGGTGGGCACTTGCAGCGGTAGTAGTCTTCGCCTGCGGGAAGAGTGAGGAGGTGTGTGTGTTGTGCCGCCCGGGCCGCGAGTTGCCTGGACGAATTCCATCCTCCTTGATCTTCCCACTTTCTACAACATAGTGCGCGATGAAGCCACCTGCCTTCTGCTCCACTCGGGGGACCGGAGGTCAGGAACCTACCTCAAAGGGGGAGAGGGGTAGTCTGAGGCTCCACCCCACCCCTCCCCCCTTACTCCATGGAACCCCGCTCAAGCGCCAATGGCTGCGTCACTTTTTTTCTGTCAAGTTGCTGTGTGAGGCGAACCGGTGACCCAAGGGTAGGAAGACGTTGACGAGAAACATGCGTCGCTCTTTTTTTTTTCCACGTGACGTTTATTCGGGAACGGCGGCGCCCGTACGACGTTGGTCGTCCTGTGCGATTCCGAATGGTCGCAAGTCTGCTGTTCGGCGTTGTTTGACTACTGCTGTGTGCGTGTGTTTTGTGTGCGGGCCTCTGGTCGTTCGGACGTGCTCGCCAGGGTGGTGGTGCTGAGCGGCGCGGCGCCGGCACAGCGGCGGCGAGTCTCAACGTTGTGCCGGAAATTCAACGCGGCGTTCTACACGGTGGAGACGTTCGGTTACGATGGGTAAGAGGAGACCGCGACACCTGTTTCTTCTCTTTCTGTTTGAAAGTACAGTGGGTGTGTCGTGGTCCATCCCGCTGCCGTTTTGTTTTGTTTTGGGGGGGGGGTTATGCTTTGATGCGCTGTAAAACACGCGAAGAGGCCTGAGAGAGGATGGTAGGCTGACGCTTCTCGAGAGCGGAACCATCTGTTGTTCTCGCTTCACGCAATCAATGGCGCGTTGCTTCCGCGGGAAGTTGCATTTCGCGCACTCCGCCATCGCCGGGAGTCTCGCTGGTTGTGGTGCCTCTCGTCCCCAAGCATGCACACTCCTTGGTGTTGTCATACCCCCTCCCTACCTACTGCGCACCCCAACACGGCGACGCCGTCCTATTAACTGTTAGATATGCACCATCCTGGTGTGATGGGTTGCGTCGCATTGTGCATCGCTGTACTTTCGGAGACACCGCGACCGAAATGGGTGTCCGTGTTTTTCTGTATCCGTATCCCCAGCCCTGCGAACCGTCGAGGCTGTCGCCTAGTGCAGCCAATGCTCGTTGCTGATTGATTTTGTTACACGTACCGCTGCTGACATGGGCGTTGTGTTCGGTTCCTTTGCTGTTGCTGCTGCTGCTGCTGCTGATTCCACGGGGCCCACGTGGTTTCACGGTGTTTTTTTTTGGCAGGTTTCTGTTCTGTGATCTGGGACCGAAACACGTCTACCGCAGAGAGGTGTGTGTGTGTCACGTCGATGCTTGTAGCATTGACCGCGCTGGCCGGCTATGTACTGCGTTGACGACCGTACCGTCTCACTACGGGATAATGGCATGTGTGCGTGAGAGATGGTTCTTGCAATAGCGAGGGCGGGAAAGGGGGCAAGACAGGAAGACGGATAGACAGACAGACGAAGACATAGCACGGGGGAACTTCACAGAAGTAGTACATGTGGGTCACAGCGGCGTACACCAGATCAGAACGTATCACACTTGACCCCGCCAGGCAACACGACCCTCATTTCTGGCGTTTCCCTCAGCAGGACCAGCTTCGATGTACCCCTCCCTCCCACTTATTTCGCGGGCAAACAGGAACTCCCCCACAGACACTCAGACCATCCTCTGTCATGAGAGCAAACCGAAATCAGACCTGCTGCTGTTGGGGAGTTGCAGCGACAATAGCTTCTTCGGTTAACGGCTACTGCTCCGCTGTCTCGCTTTTGCTTTTGTGAACGGTGATGACGGTGGTGGTGGGCCCAGCACCCGCATGGCGGATAGACCAGAGAGCTAGAATAGCGAATTCCTCCCACAATACGTTAAACTGGATGTTCGGGTCTTTGTACTGCGCTGGAGTGCCAAGCCTACCTTCCCACTTGCCGGACTCTGGTGTTTTCCTCCATTGGTCTGTCTCTGCGGATGATAGCGGGGTGGCGGCGGAGGCGTGTTTGTACGGAGCAGGTATTCGCGACCGGGTGGAAGAGCAACAGCGTGGAAGAGCGATCTGCTCTCGTCGTGCGAATCACCGTACAGACGGTCTGCAACACCGTGGGCGACTTCATTGCTTTGTGCTGATTCCACCTCGTTTCTTTCCTCATATTGTTTTGTCTGTTTTTGATTGGTGTGAACGAACGATGGTTGGGGGGGGGGGGGGGGGAGATACAGATCGGACAGATCCTGAGCGACCCCATGGACATGGAGTTCCCGAGTGTAGAGGAGGCGTCCGCGGCCCAGTGGAGTTCCCTCAAGGACCGATGGGGCCCGCCCCCAAAGCCGTTCGTCACAGCGCAAGGTGTGTCGCTCTACGTACTATTTTTTTTTTTCGACCAACGTGTGCGCGTCAACGTGTTCTTTTTTTTTTTGGCGCTTGCCTGGATCGGGCATGCTGGTTTCTGTGTGTTTGGGTAGTACTTCACTTGGTCTCGATACCGGTTGTCGAGCTGAACCACGACGAGTGAACAATCATTGCGTGGGAGTGCATCATGGTACCACCGGGCTTCGGGTGACACGCGGCCCCCGCCCCGTGCGGCAGGTACTCGCGGCCCACGAAGTGAGTTGGGGCGGAAACACCCAACCACGCGCTCGTAGTGACGCCTCGGAAGGACGTCAGGTCACGCTTGACCCGAATTAGCTGACATCAACACCGCGAACATGCATCGAGCAACCCAGCAGTTTGAATTCCGCACGAGTGTTGCTTCTCGACGACGGCGTCAGCCGCCCCCTGGCCGTAGCCATCGCAAGTCTAGTGCTATCCCGCCTTCACGCTTCGTGGCCCTTGCAATGCCCAGGAGTAACCTCCACAAACACGCGCACTTTTGGTGATTTTTCGGAAAGTTGGGCCGTCCGCGATGCCCATTGTCGCAGAGCAGGACCCGTCCATCAGATCTCCCAAGTCTCCGTTTTTCTTGTAGTGTGCGCGTGGGTCCCATCGATGTCCTGGCCCCCGAATCTACACACAAACCTTTCGGTGTCTATGTGTATGTATGTGTTCGATGCATCAGCCAGTGTCACACAAGAACGGAGCTTTCGTTATTTATTTTGTGTTGTATTTACCCACCCTTCCTCGTGCGCTGCTTGCCTCAGTTTTTTCGCGGGAAGGTTTCAGCTGTCCCGTTCCCTGGTCGACCGTCAATTTGGAAGGCGTAGCACATTCACGAAATAATTCTCTTTGACGCTGGCATTTTCATTTTTCACTAGAGAGAGAGAGAGAGAGATAGTCGAACTCACAAACTGCTGCTAGTATCTGTACGGCGGTTAACCGCTAGACCACAGGAGTGACCGGGCTGTCGTGCTCGTGCAGAAAGGCGGGGCACGAATGTGGTGGACCAAAGTTTGCGACGTCGCCCTCCACAGATCGGCGTTCGCGGTGACGAACGGTCTTGTGTCTTCCATGCGGGTCGATGTGCACCTCGGCCTCTGGTTGCGGTTGGACGCGAACCGGCCTACTTCCTCTTTCTCTGCAGAAAATTGCAGCCCCTCCTTCCCACCGAAACGAAGAGGAAATGGAACAAGATTAGTCATCATAACGTCGGTTGCTTGCAAGGACAGCGGAGAAGCCGTGGCAGGGGCGATGCCTGTGTTTTGAACAACGGAGTGGTGCTGCCTACGTCTTGAAAGAAAAGTAGCCCGCCCATGTCTGTGCACAACCGCTGCAATTTAGGTTTTGTTTCATTTTTTCTTGGTACTGTAGGGCGGACGGTCGTAGCCGTCTGACCGCTCGGTCGCCTTGGAGGGTATAGCGGGCGTGGCCGTTGCCGTTTCTTTGTCTATTGATGTATGTGCTTGTTTGTCCTCATCGGTGTTGGTGTTGCTGCCGCGGCTGTTGCTGTTGCTTTTCGCGACGGCGGCATTCTCTCTTTCTCTCTCTCGCTCTCTCTCTCTCTCTCTCTCTCTCTCTCTCTCTCTCTCTCTCTCTCTCTCTCTCTCTCTCTCTCTCTCTCTTTCTCTCTCTCTCTCTCTCTCTCTCTCTCTCTCTCTCTCTCTCTCTCTCTCTCTCTCTCTTTCTCTCTCAGTCGTCGCCCTGTTCCAGGAAAAGTTCGGCAGACGGCCCCTCCCCGCGGACACGCCGGAGTGCGCCGCCGTCATCGAAAGCGCCCTGGAGAATAACGGCCTGCCTCCGGACTTCTTGGGAGAAGCGGGGCCCGTCGCGGGCGGGGCGGCGGCCTCCTTGTGCGCCACGGCCACTGCCGAGGTCTCCCCTGTGTGTGCCATCTTGGGGGGCATTTTGGGGCAGGAGGTAAGCAAGCGAGCAGTGGCCTTGGCAGGATTTTTTTTTACATATATAAAACATGTTGGATAAAGCATACCATCGGGGAATTTTGGCAAGGGTTAGGGTTAGGGAATACGGTCTGCGTCCCCCCTCCCCGTTCTGTTTCCTCATGGACGTATTCATCTCGCGAAGGCGGTCCCAAGCGAAGTGAAGGCACGCGGGTGCCGGGCAGGGGTTGGGGTTCCTGTCGCTCGGTTGCGCAACTGAAGCCGCGATACATAGCCCGAAAAGTAAAATTGACAAGAGGCGAGGACACGCTCGCGACGGCAGAAAACTGGTGATAGATAACACACGCGTGGGATTTTTTTTTTTGTGGTCGACAGGTGGCGGCGTTGTCCTCGTCGAGGGTAGCGACAAATGGTGATATTTCCACACTTGTCTTGCTTCTTCGGGAAAGCAGCGTGCGTGGAAACGACGCGCCATAGATCTTGCACAACGGGTTGCCGTGCCGCAGGGCCTTCGTAGGAGCACAGCACACGTATGCATAGCACGCCTAGAGGTCCATGTCGCCGCCAGTGGGTACTGACGCATCCCTTCTTCTTGTTTTTTTTTTCTTCTACGTTGGATACTTCATCAACCGTGACCCCGAGATATGTATACAAGCAATCACCCGTTTCGTGTTAGCAAGTCGCTCTTGGGTTGGGGCAAGTCATCGTTCGTTGTTGCCCACCTGTACAATAGTGGCGTCTACAACGATCGATACAATTATCTCCCAATATCGTGATGCCTTTTGTATGTCTTGGCAAAACCCTGTTGGTCAAGACACCAAGTCAAGTTGTGATCACACGTTGTCCGCTGTACTCGCACCGCGCGTTTGGGGCCATGCAGGTCATCAAGGCTATTTCCGGCAAGGGTGCGCCTGCTTGCAACTGCGTGGCTCTGACAGGGATGACCGGAGAGGCCAAGATGTTCAGAGCGCCCAGAAAGGCAAAGGCCTAGTCGCCACAACCTATAATAGAGTCTTCTCCAATACCCTTTAACTTCTGCTGTGATGTAGGGAAAAGGAAGGGCAGCGAGGCAATTTTGGGTCGCCTGGGGGGTGTTGTACCAAGTTGTAATCTTTCTAGGCACGTACGCTGTAATCGAGGTGCAGATTCTAGTAGGTGGGTGTTGCTGACGACCAGGAAAAGTCAACCGACATCGATCGACAGACACGTGATGGCCACAGCAGTAGCCGGCCTAGAATGTAGTGGATGTGGTTTACCTCCATTGAACGGTGTCCGACGGGCGCGCGGCGGTTGGTTGCGGCCCCTTCGCCGTGTGGTTTTCTCCCCCTTCGCCGTGTGGCTTTGTCTCTAATCTACCTCATTCGAACGACAACCTCTGACACATGAAGGGCGATGATACCGACACATCGATGACCTCTATCATGCGTGAGAATCAAGGTGCAACAATGACACACGCAGAGAGAGAGACAGACAGACAAACAGAGAACCAAGGACGGCGCACCACCAGAGCGGGGTGACTTGAGTATTTATTGATGGTTTCGAAAGCAAGGATGGATCGCTTCTTGCGGACGGAAACGCGGGAGTTGAAGGCGCCCAGCATGGATATCGGCGAGCAACGACTGATTTTTCGCATCTCGCTTGCGCACGGGGGTGGCTGGTGTGCGGCTGGATCAATGCTTGCGAGCAAAGAAGGAGTGTGCGAGGTGCGAGAGAAAGAAGTGAGTGCAGCAGCACCAGTCAGACCACTGACAAGCTGACAAGAGGCCGAAGGTGTCATGCAGTCGAACATTTGATTGAACGGTCACAGCCGACCGCAGTCGAATTTGTTTCAATTCAAGCGATTTTGGCCTGTGGTGCGCGGAGAAAAATCAATTGCTGATTCTGGGCAAAAAAACAAAAAACAGAGTATGCATGTCGCCCCGCTGCACTTATTAAGGAATAATAAAAAAACACACACAAAAATACTGCTATACATCACCGTGAACGAAGCCCCCTGTTTAATAATTCCTATAGAACCGATATCGAAATTGCCCTCCCGGGTGGGGGTGCGGGAGGGGGAGAAGACCCGATCACACAGTAAAATGTTCTCGGGTCGCCCTTGGGTCGCCCGTCATTTTTTTTGTTCGCGTACAAAAAAATGCTTGGCTTTGATGCATGCGTGTAAAATGATAGCGTATCTCAGGTGCAACTAACTGCTGTCTGTGATGCTGCGCTCACGACTCTAGAGCTCCGGCGGCCGCCCCACGGTCTACATAGGCGGCCTCCAGCGCGGGGCCTAGGGGTGGCCTATTGTGTCCGGATTTTGTTTTCGCGGGTACACCTTGCATCACTCCACAGCAGTTGTAGTATGCCTGCCAACATACACACAAACTCATACTGTAAAGGGTCTACGCACAACATGAAAGGGTGATTACATAGCGGAGACCCGTTCGAGATGTTAGAAAGGTTTACCCATTAGACTACTTAGTCAGCGCTGACTCAGTAGTCTAATGGGTAAGCCTTTCTACCACGAGAAAACACTCTGTTCAGTGAGGGCATACTCATGTGAGCCTCCGGAGATGCAGAGATATTGTAGATCGGAGATCGCATTTCTCACGGCGGTCTCTCATTGGCCATACCTGACAGGCTCGCAACATCTACGAAGTGCGAACCACCTGCCAATAAAACAAACTGCGCAACCATGATGGCGGCTCGTCGCCTACCGTGCCGTGCAAGGCGGGAGGGTCGTACAATGGCTGCAAGCGAAGGCAGGTGCATCTGTCCTTCTGACACCCCTACACGCACAGGCAGACCCACCGCCCGGAGATATAGTCGGCGCTGCTACTACAAGCAGTACGTCTGTCCTTGATCCTCCCACTGCCAATAGCGATGTCCGACACAGTCTATGACGTGATGGGCTTTCTCGGAGGATGTGTCATGGCCGCGAGTTTGGTGCCTCAAGTTTACCGCGTCACCGTGCGAAAGAAAGCCGCTGATATAAGCCACACGTACCAGGTGAGTGGGTGTGCTGCCAACTCCATGTATGATGTCTCCAAAGAAAATAGTATCCAACATAGTGTTACTGTATGTATAATAATAGCATCGACCGCGCTAACCGGCTGACTAATGGAAAGACGTCAGTGTGTGTATTCGTCGCATCTATTCTGGCGCCAGTTCACAGACCTTTCTGCCTTTCGGCGTATATACCGGGCGTATCCAACCAAGGGGCACACGAAAAATAATCCCTGCTGTTTAACATTTTTTGCTGCATGCAGGGATGTATGTCGATCACCGCGTTCGAGCAGCGTACGTACCGGAACTACCCGCAAATGAGCCTTCGGGGTTATTGAACATGCCATCCCAGGGTGGTATTCAACGTATACATTCGACATTTTGTTCGTTTGGAAGCAGCTTGCTGTACAATGTACAGATAGCGCCCGCAGTTAAGAAACGTCAAATCGGGTCGAGCCTCAATCCCTTATTTTTGGGTCGAAGGACCAGCCTAAGGCCATGTGTTACCGTGTCTTTTTTTCTAGATATGTTTTCCCCCAAAAGAGACGACCCAAAAAATGATCTACAAAAAAGATTACCCTTCTTGCGGTGCTGGTCCATCCTTTTTTGCTATTCCGAGTCATCGACCGAAAAAAAAGAGACCCTGCAACGGCCGTTCGTCACACATACATACATACATACACCTTCCACCGCTATGGTGTTTCGGTTATATCTCCGCATACAGTGAAGCAACAGCGATGACAAAGTCATCCGCCATGAGCTGTGTGTATGGTCCGTCTTGGGTGGTGGCTGTTAGAGACCACAGGGCGATTTGAGGCACGGAAACTGAGGTGGCGAGGGTCGACAGCACGCCGGAAAAATACCCACCGCGCCTGCAACCAGTTTTTTTTTTGCTCTTTGGCCTATGTCGCAACTTTGGTTTATCGATGCTCCCTCGCCACCCACTCCAGCACCAGCGATGACAAAGGTATCCGCCATGAGCTGTGTGTACGGTCCGCCTTGTGTGGTGGTTGACACAGACCAGGAGGCTGAAGGGCGCTCAAACATTGTGAGCGCAAGAGTCGTGAACAAGCGGGAAAAATGACCCGCCTCGTCTTCAAGCATTTTTTTTTCTCTTTCGCCCGTGTCGCAACTTTGGTTCATCGATGCTCCCTCGCCACCCACTCCAGCAACAGCGATGACAAAGGTATCCGCCATGAGCTGCGCGTATGGTCCGTCTTGTGTGGTGGTCGACACAGATCAGGAGGCTATAGGGCGCCCAAAAGTTGGGTTCGCAAAAGTTGACAGCACACCAACAAAGACCCCCCGCTGCTGCGTCCAGACTCTCGGCTCGTTTGCCGCTTGTTTGCGCCGCACACGTCGGGTTGTCCATTTGGTTGGTCCAGCCAAATGAAAAAACAACGCTACCGCTGATGCTACTGACTCTGCACCACAGCTCGTGTGAACATCGTTAGAGTTTGCGGTGATCAACCGTCGAGAGAGTAAGTTTGTAGGTAGCGTCATATGGTTGTGACCAAAAAAAGACCACAGAAAATGACAGCCCCGACTTATATAATATCCAAAACTGCCCCAGAAAAAGACAGGATGGGCTGTCCAAAACGGGTTGTCTTTTTTTGTTGGCCTTTTTTCCCTGAAAAAAGACACCGTAAGAAGGGGTTCTGTGCCCAGTTGTCTTTTTTTGAGAAGGAAAAAATAAAAAGACAGCTCCAGAAAAGAACCGTAAGAAATGGCCTAAGTCGTCCATTTTCTTAAAGAGGCAATTCTTATTCCCTTGGACTGCTGTCGCATCCTCCTGATTCTCTTATTTCTTAGAAGACTTCGCATTTTCTCATTTCTGCCTTTTGATCTCTGAGGACAATCCACGTCTTCAAGCCTTCAAGAGAGGAGGTAGCGAGTGCCAACAAACCCATACAGCGGACACCATGTGGTTGTTCACGATGTGTAGCAGTACCACTCTCCCCCCTACAAAAAAACATTCACTCTTCAGCTAGGTACGGACCGAAGGAGCAGCAGTGGGACTTTTCTTACTGGACACCGTCCCCTAGCTACCCCTTGTTTCTTACGTCTTGGGGGTGTCGCACCATAACGTTTCTTATTGGGGCGTTTCTTATCTTGTTGCCGAGATTGAGCTGTGTTTCTTAGCCCTTTTTTTCATATTTTTCTTCAAAAGTTGAGCCATTTTTTCTTTATTAACAGATTTTTTTCGTAACTGCGGGCGCTATCTGTATGCTGTACAAGGTGGTGAACTAACCGCAAAGGGGCCTTCGGGGTTATTCAACGTGCCATCCCCGGGTGGTATTCAACGTATACTGTGGACAGTCTGTTCGTTTGGAAGCAGCTTGCTTTGTGTATGCTGATAAAAGGTGGTGTGTTGCTATCATTGCTGCTGCAGCCTGTCTGTGGTTCAGCTTTCCATATTCTACTACGGTACAATGCAGATGCAATGTTGACATGCGAGCTTGTCAAGAAACTCATTTGTTCGTTCTCGGCCAAGCAAGGTAATGAGGACACGTGGTATTTGTGTTGGTCTGCTGTGTGGGTAGAGAATGGTCTGCTGTAGCTGCTGCTGTTGCTGCGGTGTGTGCTGCTGTCCTGCTGCGCTTGTGCTGTATGAGGGGGGCCCGCAGGTCGATTTAACCCCCCCCTCGCTTGGTGATGTGAGAGCTTGGTCTGGTGAGAACCCGGCGTGCTCCCGTCCCGGCTTTGTAGGGATACGAGGTCAATGGTCTAACGACTGCGGCATGCACGACTATGAGTACACCCCCCCCATCCAGTGAGGGGGATCCGGAACTGAAAAAAAACGGAAAATAACTGGGAATTTCCAGGATACCTACCGCTGAACCTTACCCGGTTATAACCGGTACCCGTTTATCGACATCCCTGTTTTGCTGCTGCTGCTGCTGATTTCGATATTAAATTATCTTGATGGCAAACGGAAGGCTGCTGCTTGGCACTGCTTCGTGGTTGTTGGACTTCTAGCAGATAGGCTGTCGGATACGTCATGCAAAGGAGGTCAAGCTTGATTACCAGAACAAGATCTCTGCAGAGTACCGATTGACGATCTGCTGCTGGGTTCTGGGGAGGGAGAATGGGCAATCTTCGTTGCACCGGTTTGGTGGTGCTCCGACAAGAGATGGTCCTGCTACGCAGGCATTTGTCCCGAAATTTCGTTGGAGATACCTCATGTCTAACCTCACCCTTATAAGTGTCCAGTGTTTGGGTTGTTGTTATGCACTCCGAGTAAATACTACAAGTATTGTCTCCATCTTCTTTCTCATACTTCCGTCTAGCACTTACCTGGTCTTCCATTTTCTTTTTGAGAAAGGCTAAGGTTTCCGTGACGGCAAAGCTGATGGCGATGAAAGGAAGTCGAATCCGTAGAAAAATGAAGAAGAGCACAGTACAGGCCGACGTCATAGTCTACCCTTATGTGGAGAAACAGAAATCCCACAACAACAGCAGACGTACATGCATACGTCCACAAGACCAGGGACGGCAAACACACTATTTAACTGCTGTGTTTTCGTAAGGTAAATACGATATCCTGCTGGTAGCTCCCCCACAAAATATACAAGCGGGGGGGTGGTGTTTTTGTGCTTAAACATGATGTTGGGACTAATGCACCTTGCCCCCAGTCGAGAACCTCGTATTTTGGGGCAACCCTGTTACTGTGGCGCATCATCTGCTAGTGGAAGCCTTTCCCTCGGGATAGGGTTGAAGCCTTCTTCGTACACCATCTATCTCACTCACGACAGTTTGATTTTTGTTACAGGTTGCCCGGCCGTACTCCTTCTGCCTTAGCTCGTTTTCTTTTTGTGTTCGTGCGGTCTGGGGCACGCGGCAGTTGAGACACACCACTATTTGCTACTTGCGAAACAATGAAGGCCCACGAGAGATGGAGCCGTGTCCTTCCTACTGAGGGTTGAGGAGGGGATCGCTGACAGACAGTAGCCCGCTGTTGTTGTGGGCGTTGTTGGTTCTTCTCTGTGTCGCTTACGAGATATCTAGACTATACCCGACCCGCAGACCCAGCTGTTCCCACGGCTATGTTGGGGAATACTGCGCTGCCCAAAAACAAACGCGTCATTCCACCCTCTCGTTCGTCTGCCCGGTTGTTCAGGTGGTTTTCGTGACGGGAATCGTCATGTTTCTCGTGTTCTACGGGTACTATGAGGTATGTAGGGCCTTCCTTGTGTCTGTCGATAGCGTGTCGAGGGCAAAAGATAATTGCGTGGGGCACAAACCAGTTTTATCACTATGGGCTATAGGTGGTTGTTGGTGGGAGTGGGGAGACCTACAAACACATTGCCTTGCCTTGGCGCGTGTCAGGAAACCTGATCTCGTTCCACCCGTTCACTCAAGAATCGCTCACTGCCTGCTACTACTGTGTGTATCGGCAAAACGTCGATTCCTGAAACGCCCGTTAGCCGGTGGTATACATGCCAGCGACATTTGCACCCCGCTCCCGCCTGCAAGCTTGCGTATTTTCTCTTCGCCCGGTCTTGTTCATTCAGGCCTTCTTGTGTACCCCCCGAGGCCTCGAACCAGATCCGATGGTTGAACCACCGTTCTTGTTGTTTCCCTCCTACCACCGTGTTTGCAATGTTCTGTTGCAAGCGTACTACCGGCACTTCGATTGATCGCGGGCCTGTGCCTACTGCTCCTTTCCCCCCGGCGTTCAGATTCTCATTGCACCTCCGCGTTGCCTCTTCTCTTGCGACGTCGTGCTGTTCTTGTCCTCAGCTCTGGGAGTTGTTCTTCCCAGCCCTTGCGTCTATGATGCTCCAGATCTACCTGGCCGTCTTGAAGATCCGCCTGGAACGATGCCCCCGCCGACATACGGCGGCTGCGCCCTCGACGGTTGCTAGCGAAACGCCCGGCGAAGGCGCAACGCTTGACAACGGGTCAAGCGAGAGAACTCCTCTGCTGAAGTCGGTGTAAGTTGCGATGATCGGCTTGGGGTTTTCTCGCGCCGCCAACAATAACCGAAACCCTTTGTTTTGACGAGCACGAGATAGACCTTTCGCGGAGGGTGGTTTCCTTGTCGGATCGAGAGACTAGCATTGCTGCCCATACCGATGATTTCGGGCTTGGAAGAACCGCCAGCAACGCTGGTCGATGCGAACTCGAGGGTCCGGATGTAAACAGTGCCGAGCTGGCTAAATGTCGCAACTCACGAGACCCGTCGCAGCGACGACACAGTGGATGAGGAAGTCAAACTCGCGCGTGCTTCAAATTGTGATGTGCACTGTAAATCGTTGCCGGGGTGGACTTTTTTTGGGGGGGCGTGTGCGGGCAGCGGTATTCAATCGTCGTTGAAGTATGGCGGGTTCTCGGCGATCGACGAGGCGGTGCTGCTCCCCGTGAGAGGATGTTGATATGCCGAGATAGCTCTTGCGCGCGGAGTTGCATGCGATCATCGAGTAGTACAGCCAAAGTTGTCTTCTTTTGTTGTACGCACGTGCGGCGTGGACATTTGCCACGCGGTAACATTTTGTGTGTGGGTGCACGGTTGGTAGTGTACATAGACATGGATTTGGGATTCGCATTTCTTTTGGGCATCATGTTGACCTTTTTCGGCAAGTCGCCAAATTCTGTGTGTGACCCCTAAGGGCTCGTGACCGCTTTCCTGTGTGTTTCATTTATTTTTAGTGCATCATGATAATGCTGGACTTGAAAGCAAACTGCCCAACAACCAAATGTCGACCACCGCATCTACGCATGCCACGTGGCGCCTTGCTCATAATAAGAGGAAGAACGCGACGCTTTTCGCCAGCGCTATGCGTACCTCACGTCGGACGCCTCAAGCGAACACCGCAATACGCGTCCGCCGTTTTTTTTTGTGCGGGCGTGACGAAGGGAGGGAGCGGCTCGAAGAATGAAATGCGCGAGCGTCGTGATGAGACAGACCGTATCTCGAGCGTCAGCTCTTGACGGGGAACGGCGTTCCTAAACAACCAAACAGCTTTTTTCTCTTTCTCTCATCTCGAGAGACTTTCGCCTAGGGGGCGCGCACGCTGCCTGACCCAATATATCTAGACTATCCAGGGCTTGCCCTGTCTGAATGTTCCTCTTGGAGCCGAATCAATTCCGCTAGAAGCCGTCCGCGATAGAGCTGGGTAGATGTCCGGTCATGTTGCTTTGGGGTTTTGGGCGGTGGTGCATTTGCCAAGAAAATATTGTTCCCCGGTAGTATGCTTTCGGTTTTGGGGGAAAGCTCTGGTGCCAAAGTCGGGGCCCTCGCGGGAAGCTACGTGTAATTTAGTGCAATCAGTATCGATACCGTTGCAACGCCGAATTCTGCTCAACACGATCCAGGCACCACCCAAGTCCACGGCGCCCTCTTTTATGTAGGTTAACGGGTAAAAGCTTGTCTCTTCTCAGCCTTCGTCCAAATGGAGACAGCCTACGCCTCGTCACATGATCACTTTTAGTCCTGCAACAGAAAACGTGCAAAACCGACCAAATCAAACTCCCACTGATGCCCACAAACACGCAAATAAATAACCGTCGTGAACAAATCCTCTAACCACCAAGCCAAGTATGTTTTGCCCGAAGCGGTCTGCGTATTTCTTCTAGTCGCGCGTGATCAGCTTCCCCTCTCCAGCTTCTCTTTCATTTTTTCTTTTCTAATGACACGGACTATCGCGCCGTTGACCCAGCCGGTCGGAGAATACTAACTGCCCCCCGAAGGAGGACATGCATGTGGGATAAGGTACCGTGCAGGAACATGTAACGCAAAAAATCGAAGGAGGTCCACCCTACTCAACGGAAATGCGACGAAACAAAGGTATCCAAACGCATGGGAACCAACTGCGCAACGCAAGGGGGATGAAAATGTGAACGAACATGTTCTACTCTCAAGTGCCCAACACGATAAATCGAAACACCGGCGGCAACTCTTGTTTCTCCCACTTAGGAGTGCTACGTTGAAAGCAACGTTTCTACAGCTGTCTTGCTCCCCAAAAATTAAGTATGGTACTATACAACCCTACAACCCGCGTAAGGTAAAACCTGCTCAATCAGAAGCAGAAGCGGCCTCAGAGAAGTCTAGGACCGCCGACCTTAACGTGTTTGGGGCGGTACTCCGAACACTCCACTAGTCTAATCATGCCGACACGCTTACGGTTTGGACTTGAGTTTCAGAACACGATGCTAGTAAAACACACCCCTTTCTTCATTAGCAAGGCGCCTCGTGTCATGCGTGCATGATTTTCGTCGCGAAAAAACGTTAAAAAATCGAATGAAAGACGTCTACCGCAAACCATTCAATCGTGCAGACAGAAGGTGCCATAGTGTCGGTCACCCCGGTGGTCTAGTGGGTAGCATCGCAGCCTACTAAGGGCCAGGTCATGGGTTCGAATCCTGGCATATTGAGTTTTTTTCATTAAATAAATCCTGACCTAAGTTGGAAGCGACGCGCTGCGATGCTCGTTGTTAGCAAACTCGATCGACTTCATAAGTCGCGAGGGAAGGGATTGCTGTACTCTTCTCGCGATAAAAATATCTCAGGCAGGAACCGCAGGAGGGGGTCCAACCCCCCCCCTCCTATGTGACCCCGGTTGAGTCGTCTAGCTAGTAGAAGTGGAGGATAGGGGCCAGAGGGGCAGACGACAGAATCCAATGATGGGAGAAAAACAAATTATATATAGTGACTAAAGGCAAATTTCATACACATACAACCAGCAACGCCGACGGGATTTTTTTAGCGTTACCTATCGCAGCTACCAATTCTCTCTCTCTCTCCCCTCTCTCTCTCCTCTCTCTCTCTCTCTCGATCTTTCTCTCTCTCTCGATCTCTCTTACTGTAGGAGTGCAACTCTCTTGGTTCGAGGCATCCTTTCTTGGGTATCAACGTCAAAGGCAGGACGAAACCCGCTCGTACCTTAGTGGTAGGTTCCGAAAAACGCCCGACCACGCACGAACACTACCGTGCACGCTGAGACTGACGCATTTTCATTGTCAGCCGATTAGCGCGGTCGATGCCGATAATAAATGAACACACACACGCACCAACACCACCCACACCAACCTCGCAGTGTTGGGGACATACGTAGGACTCCACGAAAGGCGCACCATTTCCGGCACGTCTGGCCTACGAACCTGAAAGAGAATCAACCTTCGGGAAGGAGCTGGCCGCTTGGCCTTGCGAAATTGCGCCCCCAACTTGCTGCTACACACTCCACAAACTTCACTCAGAACTTAAGACTGCTGCACTATTTATCGACAGCTCGAGAACACCACTTTATCCACAGCTCGAGAAGACTCGACGTGATAAGGGCCGGGATCACAGGCTACCACGAGCTCATGAGGGGCTGTGCATCGCTTGAGGTGTTGGCCATCCTTTCTCCATCGCCGGACGTGTCTCCAACAACCACCGATGCCCCTGGCACCGCCGCCCTAGGTCGGAGAGGAAACTCTTCCAGCCGGATCTTCAAGGCGAGCAGCAAGATCGCGAACGACATCGACAAGAGGGCCGGGAAGAACACCTCCCAGAGCTGACGAGAACGATGGGGGGGGGGGGGGGGGTAGAAGAGATCTTCAGGACGCAAGAAACAATTGATCGTGTCAGGGGACCCCCCACAGACAAGGGATTCATCCGGTCCTACCCAACGTCCAACACAACAAGAAACGTGTCAGGCAATACTTTTGGGCTGGCGACGGGTGCTTGCGCACGTCCGGTCGACACGAAGCGTTCACTACTGTTGGGTGGCATGGTGGAAGGCAGGCAGGCAGGCTGCGGGGGCGGGGAAGGGGCAACAGATGAAGCAGGATTTGAGGTTGCGAAAAAGGCGCTCACGGGTGGGGGTCATCCCTATCATCACCAACTCGACCACGGCCGTTCCCAGTCTGCCATCCACACTACACGTGGAGCCCCTGTCGCAACAAAGGGGTGTGGTTATGTAACACTCTGGCAATACGCCTTACACCCAGGACACGCCAAATGCGCTACGGATCGACACAGAGCCCATATACCATCACCTCGTAGTACCCGTAGTAGGCGAGAAACATTACCAATCCCCCCACGAAAACCATCTGAGCGGAAACGGACGCGGCCGAACGGGAGAGGTAACGACGATCGCAGCGGGAAGAAAAACGTTTCGTCACTGCGGGAACAAGCGCGGGAGGGGCACCCATGTCATGTCGGGGAGGGGGGGGGGGGCGTTGGTCCGGCTATGGGCAGAAAGGTTTGCATTGATCGGAGACTTGTGATGCCATGGACCCGGGCGTGTACACCTAGAGAGACAAAAAAACAGGAAAAATACGTCATGAGAGTGGATTGTGAAATTCCTCCGGGTGTGACTCCGAAGGACGTGGTTGCTTCTCCCTGCAGCACGGGGCAGGGCCGCGCAAGTGATTGTCGTGGAAAACACGAACCGCCAAACCACATCTAGTGTGTGCCGGTCCAGGTTCGCAAAACAAAGTGGGACGGGTTCGGCAAAACCGCCGCCGAACCGAGGACAGCAGCCTTGCGACCCTGGCCTATCGCAACTTTGTCGAGCGAGATGGACGCAACATACATCGGCGTGTTTTTTCGCACTTGCTCGGAAGCTTTCTTTTTTTTGATTTCTTCCGAGTGTGGAACCACCAAGATCGACACCAATCGTTGTTGGGACACGTCAGGTCGCGATGCTGGGGTTTCGCAGGAGCCCTTGGTAGAGTACAGCGGGGGGTCCGCGGATGATGTGTTGGTGGGGCAAGAACTTGATTATATCCCCGTCTATACCAGTCAATTTCCCCCGCCTAATGTAGGGCGGACCGCCTAACGCAGACCGCGATACTTCGGGACCCCCACTGCGTGGGGCTACGGCCAACAGATCGGGGGCGTACCACAGGCAGACATATAGTTGCTCAGCTGTCCTTCTGGTGCCGCTGCGTCGCGATTCTAAGTTCTCAGAAAACAAAGCGAAAAAAATAACGGTGATTTGGAGCTCTTGGAGAAAACATACTGCACCGGACCCCCTCCGACCAACAGCAAATAGGTACTGTAAGCGGAACACGACTGCAGTGAAAGAAACATGGCCGTCGCCTCCTCGCCACCAACCCAGCAGACGGCGACTTCCTTGAGAAGCAGGGAGGCAGAGCTTATAACGCGACGCGGCCTGCGCGTCTGATTAAGCGCATGGCGATCGAGGAATGACCACATCAACGTTTCGCAAGTGTCCACGGACGGGCATGTGCGCGTTCGTGACTTTCCGGTTCTACAACGCCCACACCCGAACTCAACGCAGGAAGCCCCAAACTTAATGCTGAGGGCGGCAACAGTCGTGACGGGGGAGCTGCTCGCGCCAAAGGAGTTCGATTGAAGTACTTGCTGCGTGGTTTGGGCTGTGTAGTGTGTCATGAACCTGAACCAGGCGTGCTTTTGAACGCTTGTGCACTTTTCTCTTTTCGGCGTTGTGAAGCCTTACCAGAAACCTGGGGCCCGCACGATGTCCAATTTGCACACAACATTTTCCCCTGCATAACCTTGCCAGTTCGGCAATCGAAAAAAAAAGCTGAAAATAACGACAACTCTTGTGGAATGGAAATAGTGCGTGGTGCGTGAGATATAGTTTCGGTGTGACGATGACGGGACATAACAGTCCTTACGGTGTTAATATCTGCCGTAAATACTAAAAAAGAAATCCCAGATACCATTTTTTTTGCCTGTCTTGCCGGGATTTGGGGGTCTAAATTCCAGGCGAGGTTTTTCGCTGGGATTTGGGTGTGGTACCGCTTGGGAGGCGCTGATGCGCGCGCACGGCACCGATTGCACGTTTGCACCGCGCCCGTCTGCTTGTATTCTAGCTCGTTTGTATACTACCGCTGCTCCGGCAGCTGTTTCGACCGCAGCAGGGCAGGCTCGAACGATCCCCTCTTTCTGTCAATCAACCCTTGCAAACTTCCCTACTAGACCTGCCTGCGGCTCAGGGGGGTGAACATCTCCCCTATTGCCACATACGCCCTAATCCCACGCGAATGAAAGCACGTTCGGCAGGAACTTCACTGCTGCAAGTGCGTTTCAGCAGCAAGCGGTATTTGGCGGTATCCATGCCACACCCCCTTGGTAATGGCACTCCTAATGGCACTCCCTTAACGGGTGCCGCGACCTGCAATCAGAAATTTATTGCCCGAGCAACACCAGATAACACCCCCACAGTATACTTGTAGGAATAGCCTGCCGCAGGTGATATTTATACTTTATTTCCGAAGGGGGGGCAGCGTCACAACCCTTTTTCTGCACCCCCGTAAAGGCAAACATGTAACTTCAGTACATAAGTACTCAACTCAAAGATCATGAGCTTCGGTATTTCTTCGAAGTACCTACTGTAGCTCACCTTACACAAGTCTGTTTTACGTCTAGCAGCAGGTCACCACGAAGCAAACAACCCCGATCACCCATGTCCTTCAGATCACCATGCATGGCATACTCAGATCACTTATGCATATGTATGTATTCCCTTCACATCACCTCTGGCAGCCATACCGTGCACAGAACACAGGGTGTTCTACACCTACTGGTCACTACTTTTCGCTTTACCTAAAACCTGGTACAATTCGATGTACATACAAACATACCGTTCACCTGATCTCGCCACGGGCAAACATGCCCCGTATCACCTACGGTATGTCTTTCAGATCAACTCGGACTACCCCAGCAAACGGCACAACGTACCTGCATGCGCAACTGCATGCGCTTACGATAAAAAAACGCCGGTGTGTGCATTTGTGTGTACTTGAGCTTGTAAAAGAAAACGTCGTGCAGGCCAGAGGTTTACCACTGAGTGAAAAGTCAAGCCGTTGGTTACTTGTTGTTGCATTGGATATCGTTAACTCCCTCACGCACTAGGTCAGCGCGGACGGGAACCTATGCTACAAGCAACATACAGATGGATTCGTTGTGTTTGGAAAGCAACATACACATATGCATCCCTCACCAGATGTGCGTAGCTGATATCAGCCGATTGTTTCCTCCTGATCACCCGTGCAAGTTGAGGCACAAATGCGAAGGCCACTATCAGACCTCCGGATGCGCCCATCAAATTATAGGGCACATCGGACGCCATGGATCGATCGCCCTTCACACCTTGGTAGTGGAAGAGTCATGCACAAGATCACGAGTTACAAGTGCAGCGACAACCAGGCCATCAGGGTGTTTCCCACCAAGCTGCTAAGCCTGCGGTACCGCGCACCGCGCCCGAGGCCAAGCGTGAAAGTTCGAAACGCCTGTCATTGGTCGAAAACGGACAGTCCCGAACGAACTGTGGCACTGCATTCACACATCACCGTGCCTGGGCGGTGGGAGTGCATCTCATGCAAGCGTGATAGCTGATTGGCAGTGGGTTCGTTCGCGTGGTAGCACATCTCTGATCGCTCTCGCCTTCACGGGTTTGCGTTCGTTGCGTACGCCCGCGAGAGCGCCCTGCAAAATAACAAAGGGGTGGGCGGTGAACACCCGTGTACCTCGTCCTTGGGACGACACTGCTTGCACCGACGCGGCAGCACGAGGAACAGCGGCAGGCGCGGGTAGAAGACGTGGGGGGGGGCAGGGAGATGGGGGTAACAGATACTATTGTTGATGCAATAGGCTTCTCGGCAGGCTTTCTCGTGGCATCGTCTCTTCTCCCGCAAATATGGCGAGCTCACAAACGACGATCGGCGGCGGATTTGAGCTTCACCTGGCAGGTGCGGTCTACATGTACGTTCGTCTACAGCCAGTAGTGCTGTAATTGAGTACTGCTGTGGCAGCAAACCCCGGGGGGTAGGGAAAAGAGTGCTGCCGAAAAACGACTGTAATAGTGCCTGCAGAAAGGTGGGTCGCCCAAGCTGTAAGAAAATACTGGCACACATGGATAACATCCACCGGAGATACTGGTAATTCTCACAGCAGAAAGCGTGCATAGTTGACTCGGTACTGTTAAAAGATTGAGTGACACCTTGCTGGACGTTGTTGATGCCGTTGTTTTGTGCGATGTTGTTGATGTCACAACCAGTACATAGTGGTCCCGATATAGTGGCACCCTGAATAGTGAAATGCCCGATATAGTGGCATCAAAAACCTGTTGTCACATTCTCAACATGTACATGAACCCGATAACCCGATAGAGTTATTTAAAACTCGATTCATGGACCGGCGGGACCTTTGGGCCTTTCGCTGCTTGGTACATTTTTGGTGAAAAACTCTCGTGATATAAAACTCGAGAATAGATCTTCACAGGATAAAAACACAGGACTGTTAGCCTGCGCCAATACATCCTCGGACAGCTGGTGTTGGGCAGGTGGGCTGCCGTTGTGGTGCAGCCAAATTTGATCAACCGGAAACAAGCAGCAAGCGAAATCCGAGTGCCTTTTTTCAAGGTGATACGAATATGCACACCCTTACGTAGTGAACGAATAGCGGACACGGCGCGTTCGTCTCTGCCAAGAGCGCCCCCAACCCACGCTAGCTGATACTCTGTATGTTGGCACTCGGGCACGGTGATGATAATAAAACCGTTGGCCCTTCTTCTCTTTTTTTTGTGCCAAAGAGAAAACGAGAGAGGTTAGAAAAGACAGCCAGACAGGGATATACGCACACCCTGTGCATCAACGGCAACAACAACCTCCAGCCTCCCCGCCATGCCGACTAGGAAGGGCCGCCCTCCCCCCCAAAAAGTAACGGGGCAGCCCATAAGCTACGCGGCGAGCCTTGTGGAACTGTGTCTGTTCGTTATTTCGTCTGTGCTTGCGTGCGATGGCGGCACCAGAGAAAGCGAGAAAGAAAAAGGAGCACGACGAGAGAGGAGGGCAGAGGGGAAAAAAGAGGGTGCAGCAGCATGCAGCAACCTCACGTACACGTTGATACGCATGCAGCACAACAAAAAATCGTCCGGGCAGTGCCCGAAAGCTTGGTCGGGGGCTGGCGGTGGTGGCGGCGTTGTTATGACTGTGTGCTGTGTCTTTGCTGTTGTGACGGCGGTGATGTTTGCTGCAAAAGCGAGGAGAGAGGAGAGGGAGAGAGGAGAGGGAGAGAGGGAGATAGATAGAGCAGTCTATTCGTCTCGGAACACAAATATATACTTGGGGCTCTGGAGCCCGAAACATATTTTCGCTCACGATTCATGCATTTTGTCCAAAAGTCCCCTCCAATATAAACTCGATTCATCCACTTTTCGGGCTCCTCCACTGGTTTCATGCATTTTTTCGAGTTTTAAATAGCTCTGATACATCGAACATGACCCGATACATCGAAGAGCACTGGCACTGCCCTGAAAAGTGGCGTGTTTTGCTCTTGCCCCTGCATGCCACTCTTTCGGGACGATTACTGTAGACTAGAAGACTAAGTACAGATTTGTTCCTTTCCCAGAATGTCAAGAATTTTCCTTGGGCTGTAAGACGATGTACGTAACGTCAGTGCCGAACAATGTCAAGAAGCAAGTATATACACACGTCGGCGGAACAGCTGCTCACCAGTAAGCAGAAACATTGTAGTTTCCAGCAGTCGAGTCATGTCGTGGCGGTGTCCGCAGAGGTGCAGGGCAGTGCAGACCGCAGACCGCCGAGCCTCAGGTTGGGGCCGATGTTGGCACACACATAGGCTGTATGCGCATTTGTGCGTACATACCCATGCGGGCGGCATGCGGGCTTTCAACCAAGAGAAACCCAGAAAATATGTAGACAACGCTTTTTTTAATCAGCGCAAGCATGAGGCAACAGCGATATGACACCAAGGCTTGGCCTTGGCCGGTTTTACGTAGCAGATCATCAGGACTGTGGTATTTAGCTCTCTGGATGTAGCGCGTCTTAGGTGTGGAGGCGCAGAGATGGTTGAGCTCTCTTTCTGCGAGGGTTGAGCTCTATCAGCATTGTATGTGGGCGAGCAAACAAACTGCAGCGAACAAATTGTTCGCGGGTTGTTCTTGCAGCCACATATTTACGGAAGGATGTTTTTCGAAGAAAATTCTCGCGCCGAGCTCTCCTTTACTTGAAGTAGTCTATCAACATGCATTCAGCATCTGTTTTCCCTGTTTGTGCTCTTTGCATGTTTTTTCATCACCCCTTGCCGCGGTGCTCTCTTTGCCCCACTCCGGAGGGGGCTCTTGTACAATTGTGCATGTACGTGTGCAAGACGGTGGACCAAGCCTAGGAAGAACCGCGTGTAGCTGCCAACGCGTAAATCCCGACAACTTTAGCGAGACATGCGAGCTTCCAGGCCGCGCATACCAAGAGGAAATCAGGGGCGGGCGGGCAAGCAAGCCCCGAACAGCTCAAGCTTCTACAGCAGTAGTCCTACGCCCCGTTGCTTTCAACCACACGGACACTGAGTTGAGTTGCCAGGTGTAGGAGGTTCTGCTTGCACTACTTTTGTATTCTAGCCTAATCCTGAGGGAGACGCTTTCACGCGCCCCTTGCAAGTAGGATGGCTGATCTTTGATTGCGTGTTGCCGCCGATCAGGGAATCGACCCATCCCTTTTAAAAGCAAGGCATTCTTGCGTTAGACACCGTACAAAGAGAGCATTGCGGTCTTTCCCATGTAGACAGTCTATCTTCCACGGCCCCCGTACTATTTTTGCAGAGGAGCCTGCTGTTCACGAAGAATTCGACGGTGGTAGGCAAGCTGCTTCGACGATTGTTGTTCTAAGGATGCTTTTTGCAGGTGTACTAAATAGGGCCACCAAGCTTCTGTTTTAGCTGCGTGTTCCGCGGAGTGGCGAGGGCCAACGTGTTCTGCAGCACGTGTTTTGCATCAGCTGCCGCGCGTAGAACAGGATCATGACCTGTCCCGTAGTTCACCCGCACTCGTCCCAGACTCCCACACAGCAGTACGGGACTCCCGTCCGTCTTGTGCTTTCGACGGCAACGCAGTCTGTTCCTCCTCCTGCGGCCCCGCGCCTCTATCCTTCCCTCGAGCCGAACGTCAACGTTTGTACGAGCAACTCAGCCCCTGGACAACTCCCAGGTTCATTTGGTCCAATCGTGACCCCCACCCCTGCTTTTCCCCTCTGGTGATGGATTGTTTTGTTGTAGGCTCGGTTTGATGTGAGTCTTTTTGTCGTACAGCAGTGGTGGGATCTGTTCCGGGTCTCACCGCAACTTCGGGCCCAACATCAAACCAGACCCAGCGCTTGAAAAACCATCCACAAGAAGTAATTGCCTGACCTGGCCCTTCCATGTAACACCGGTCGTGGCCTTTGTCACCAGACGTGTCACGGCGTTGATCATCAGCTCTCCTGGTCTGACAGTGATCTGACGCATGAGATTCAGTTCTGACCCGAACCTGCAGTCAGGTGGCGTGAACATGCAGATTGCGTCTTCTATTCGTGCCAAGCCCCTGTTGAACTTCGCGCGCAATTTTGCGAAGTATCATCAGTGCATCATCTAATCAACCCGTACCGCGGGAGATCCGTGTTGCAACTGCTGTCAAGGGCGCAGAAGATGAGTTGAAACGATAATTATCGCCTTCGACACCTAACCACCACAGCCTATGCGTTGTTGTGCCGACCAGTCAACGGAAACTTTAGGTCTGGTTTTGCTACAACGCGGTGTAGACCCCCCATAATTTCATCGCAGATTTCTGTGCATCTTTCCGCTCTAACTCTTAGTGTGGGTAAGAAGTCTGGGTGAACAATTCCGGTTAGGACCAGGCCTGACTGCATTTGTTTTTGCTCTGTTTTTCCGAAACAGTCGACCCCGCCTTTAGGCCACACCACGTTTTCTTTTTCTGGGGGTCTTTATCACGGGGAAGTGTCTTTGAGATTCCGGGGCCACTAACTCGCCGCCCCCGGGGACCAATGCAGGCGAAACATATGTCAAAACACGCGCATACGCAGCAGGAATGCGACCACGAAACGGCGCTGTTGGAAACCTATGACAAAACGTGATTTGAAGGCCGCAACTTCTGCTGCTGTACTCCAATACTGCTGTACATAGTTTGAATTTTCCCCGACCACCGAAACGCGGGCAGGGGTGCAGCACGACTCATTGAAATGTGTACGGTAGTAGTGGGCTGATATTGTTGCAGGCGCTTTTACTATTATTGAGGCGTTTTCCTGACGGTGAACACCTTGCCCGAGATCTCGCTACCGCACCTGAGAAACACCATCAGCTGTTGAAACTAGCTCTGATACGATACAGGCAGGCTACCTGCCACATGGGGACCAAACAAAACCACCCACACTCAGAACGACACTAGGAAAATGTCGGCAACGCAGACAACACCAGCCAAAACAAATCGGGAAAGTACACCGAAAAAGAGGGCACCGCTCCTCCCCACAGGTCAAAACGAGGCACAACACAAACAAAACAAATCGTGCCAAATTTAACTTGACGAGACTTCACCCCAAGGCAAAACAATAACACCAAACAACGAACGTGGGCATCCAAAGTGCAGTTGTCCCCAAAAAAACAAAAACTGCGCCGCCCGCATATCCCGAAGAGCCGCCTGCACCTCGCTCCCCTCCTTCGCTCTTCGCTTGACTTGAGTTTAATGAGTGAACGAATGCACGAAAACCCCGTAGTATTTTCACATATATATGCGAAGGACCATGTTTCTGTTTTTTTTTGTCCTTTAAAGCGGGGAGTTTCCTTAAGAAAGAGTGTCTTCAAAGCGGGGACGACTGTACGATGGTTGGGAATGCATGGTACAAGTACAATTATAACCGATACATCCCTGGAAATAACCCCATATAAGTCTTCGAGGGTACACGCACCAGTTATATACCGGGGACGAAAACGTGTCGTC